GTATATATATATATATATATATATATATATATATATTCAAGCATGGTGCGAACACCATCATAATAATAACAGGGGTAGGTGGATTGGGATACAGAATAAAGTGAAGGTGAAACTGTCTCAATGGAAAATTATAAATAACTGGGATAATTTTTTTGTTTTATCGTACACTTTTTCAATTTTTTTATTACCTTGTCGTTTTTTATGGGGCACGAGGCTTCAACAGGCGCACCGTACAGCATTCGCGCCACTGACTTCTATTCTGGACCAGATCTCTCAGCGTCTCTAACCAACGATAATTTTTATCTCTTGGATCCCAACCTGGAAAACGGGCTGCACCAACAGAACTCAAAGCTGAAGCCAGCTTCTCTACGCCATGTAATGGTCTGACCACCACACCGCTTCTTCCAACCTTGCCCGGCAGCATCAATACCGACCGAAATCGCGAACGATTATACGAAAGAACTTTTTCATATATAGGAATGGAGTTCTTCAGAATTACCAAGATCTTGCATCGGAGGACTATAGTATTCAAAATATTCCCTAGCGTGGATAAAAATTACGCAAAATGGATGGTACTGTGTATCGTCACAAAATTGCGATTCATTCTGAAATGATCTCATTGGTGAATATATTTTCCTCTTAAATGATAATCGGTCCGATGCGTTCCGCGCCCTCGGATAATTGCTACCCTCTGTAAATAAATCAAAATTGAATGAAGCTCATTGATGCCTGTATTCAATTAAACTGAAAAATGTAGGCGGTAGATCTATGGACATCACTAATGCCCTCTTTCTCATCTATCTTGATAGACGTCCACAAAACCATCCTTTCAAGTATCCATATTGCTATGGATTGCAAATCGTTCACACACGGACTCACCCGGAACCTAGGAATAGATCGGGAGAATAACTACAACAATGAACTAATTGCAATTACAATCTACTTCTTTTTCTCTAATTGGCCAGCACGTGTCAATTTTAAAGAAAAAGAAAGTAAATCATCAAAAGATACCTCATCGCAGTCTCTTTCTGTGACCGGCTTAAACTAGCTTTTAACAGTAGTCACACGACAGCTCCAGACATCTTTCCTCCTGCCTGGTTAGTGAGATGTGTGATTCAAGCCTGCAGTCAAAACTTCCTAATAAAATGCTATCTCCTGTTAGGATTTATGTGGTTCGTGGTTCCGAGGCTTAGGTTACCGTTTTCCATGAAAAAAAAGAATATTCTCAGCTCTATCAATCTGGCGCACATTCATTGGAAAAGAGGATTACCTGAGAGATTAGTTTTCTCGCGATATTTAAAGCCGGTGAACTAGATAAATAGTCGCCATCCGTTTTCATGGTTATTAGGCTAACAATTTGTCATCGAACTGTTGGGTGCTCTTCAGTGTAGTAGATTGAACAAGGTCCCCGGAGAATGATGTTTATTGTCGATTTATAGGAATAGTTCACTCTTGTAGCACCTCAGAGGAATTAGCCTCATCGGCACCTCAATGCACTTTCTTGTTGAATTTGTACTTTACCAATGGCCTACTGAAGTTGGGCAGATCTAACTGCCTTAAATCTGGTCTGGGATGCACCGATCACACTTTCATACCCCATGCGGTGCGGGTTCCTAAGCATATCTTCAGTAAACCCATGCTCTAGTTCTGCGTCCGTTGAATTGAAAACAGCGCTTAACTCAGTTGACCGCATCATCTGGTATACCTCTCGTTGAATCTGTGCCGCTCAATACCAGCAGCAGTTGCATTCAAGGCTTTACTCACTTTTCTTCCTACACAAGTTGGATTTATTTGCTCCCGGGTGTATGTTCTTGTCCAATCTCTTTCTCAGATTTTCAGTTCCTCCACCTCTTTTGTTATCGATCAAACTGGGAGACGACAGCCAACTGGGTCACTCCATAATGGTTGCACAAGTACTGTTTCTTCTGAATAGAGATGTTTGAGTATTATTGTTACAGGCGAGTAATAGACCTATTCATTCGATTTCGTCTTATATAGCATAAACGAAACGTCACCCAATTAGCTAAGGGGCACTGTTCGAATGTCTACTTATCACCCAGTGCAACACCGGGCAGTTGATCAGACAGCGTCACTTCGTTTTTGCACTGTACAACACAACCCACCCCTGCATGTTGGCTGGGAGTATCTTCTCTTAGTCAATTTAGTGTTTATCGATAGTCCAGCGACATATGTCTGCTCAGGATCCGTACGTTTCAGACATCATTCATCCGGCTCTTCAAGAACCAAGTTCGTGAAATGTGTTTGCACTGTTGTTACTTCAGCAAAAGGAATCGAAACCTTCTTATCGTTATTCGAATTTCTTTAGTTCGCTCCTGTTCTCGGACAAGGAAAGAGCCACATCAGCACCCACACAATCGAAAAGCTTTCTGTCCTTATATTAGAATATTTCATAAATGAGAATTTCAGTAACGTAATCTTCAAAATAAATTTGCTAATACCATACAATTTGTGTTTATGTAGTGTTTGATCAGTGAAATTTGACTTCACCGATGCATTTATTTCCACATCTGCATTACTTATATATTCTTCTTTGTCCAACCTGTCATCAGCTTCCGGAAATGCGCGCCATGGAAGATGCGGTTTCAAACGATCATTGTCAATCATTTGTTCGATTTCTTGTTCATTGTTCTGGATTAACTTTTGGGTTTTTATGCATTCTTACAGTTGTACTAACCAGTGACTACATAAACTTTTGATCGATATTCCTTCCGCCTTTTGGACATACGATCAGGCCATAGCCCATTTGCACCTATTATGTACCATTCAATTCGGAGTCATTGATCAGCCACCATTGTCCACATCTCAAGTCGAGTATATCACTCTCCAATTTCATTCGGATCTCCCAATCCACGTCTGCGAGCGAGATCCTTTCCCGCCAATCCAGTCCTCGTATCTCATTGTTGAATTGCAATCAGTACACAATCGTGCTGTGCGTTTGCGCGTGCTTGTGATGCACTAGTGTTTTCATTTACTTACTTCGACCTTCGTCATTTCACGGGTCTTGCTCTCGCGCTAATTTGCACAGAACCGTTCCCAACCCCCTGTTACGAAATTTGCTCTCTCTCCGCACACACAAAAGCATATTTTTGTGATCGGATTTTCGGAAGAAACGCGCACCAACCCTCTCAGTCTCATTTTTATTCTCCATTCTGAAGTTACGGTCCGTGTGAGTTCGGAATCCCGGACCATGTTTTATTTCTCCTCGTCGGGTTTGATTTATTCGTTCGTGAACCCATGAAAAATTAGATTTGCATCTACCAAAACGTCCGCGTCAGGTGATCTTATTTCTTATGCAAACTGCAGTTGACAGGGATTTGTTGTGTAGTTGCAAAACCCGCCAATTTTGTTCATTGCATCAGTTACCTACTTTTCGTTGTCAACCTTTCATTCAACGATCTCAGTAGTGAGCTTCATTTATGGTCCTTATCTTTCCACCTAATCTGATATGGAGTAGTTCTTGTGGTTGAATGGTAAATAAAATGAATTAATTATACTTAATAATGAGAAGCCGAACATAAGAGAATCAAAAGCCTGTAGGGAAATGGACAGGCGTAGAGTCCATGACA